AAAAATTTGCAATAAAAAGTCTAAAATTTAAATTAGAGGACTAAAGTATAAATCTGAAAACTACGCTTTCAAATATTTGTGTTATTGATGGTTTCTCTTTGCAGTGCAATGAATAAAAATGAATCATTAGAGACCAAATCATAGCTGGTCTTACCTTTACAAATCACCCATGGTGACCGCTAGATCCATCGCCGCTGCTTGAATGAGACGACCTACTCCCAGGTAAAGCAAACGACCCCATCATGTAGATGGTCAGTATGACCATAATGAGAAGAAGCAACAGGAAAAGGTAGTTCATTGTAGTCTTTGGCTAGTCTGATTGACCTGGAATACATATGTGTGATTAAATTTATTTAAACACAAAAAGCATGTTTGAGTCGATTTAGCAAACTACTTTATCTGTAAAATCTATTTCCGATAGAAAAACAACATATTGCTTTTCCTACGGAAAAAAATATTTATTTTTTTAAGGGAAAAACATTAAATCTGATGAACTATTTGAAAATTTTATCTTCTAACTTTTTACCTGGAGGATGTTTCAAGAAACCTTTTGTCTAAGGACAAATATTCTCATATATATATCTGCTTATAATGTCATTTAAAATGAACTTTAACTTGAAAAAAAAATAAATTCCAAGAAAAAAAACCTTGTAGTTTTCTGCTTAGTACCGATTATTTGAGATGCAAAAAGAACATTTGTTAATTAAAAGCAAGATTCATGCAAACAACCTTGCATCTGGAGTTAATAGGGCACAAATGATGCAATGAAAATGCCAATGAAAGCATAACGTCAAAACGATGGTACTTTTCAGTTTTCTCTAAAATTAGAAGTTCACTAGATGCATCAGAAGTATTTTTCTTGATGCAGAGTAGACATTTTCAATGTTTTGAGAAGAAGCTGTCCTTTATTGAAATTATTAACCGATTTCTCATTCGGAATAAACTTTTGATGAATAATTTACTATTTACAAGAATTTAATTTAATAAAAAGAAAGAATATGTAAAATGTTTCATTTATTTAAAAAAAAATGACCGTAGTTATTTGCTCGTTATGAAATAAAATACCTGCAGAAGAGACCACCAAATTGGGACAATGACTGATTGATTGTTTTACGTCTCTTGCTAGAATTTTCACTTATATGAGACGTCTCCAAGTGCGGGTACATATAATTGTAAATGGCTTCATATTTAGACCTTTACTCGGCACTCAGGGCCATTTAGCAGTAAGGATTCTTTATCATGCCAGCGCCTGCATTGACAGGGGACCTCGATTTTTAAGGTCTTATCCGAAAGACCCGTGACTTTTATTTCTTGTGCCAGGCGCTTAGTTAAGAAAGAGTCACTTCTTAGGATTATCGAGGCACAGGGAACAGAGGTCGAAACCGGTACATTCCGATCACGAACACTTAATAACATACATATTTCACAGAATCTGCAAAACATGATATATTTTCTCTCTCCTTTTTTAAAAATATTTTTTATCTTTTGCTTACTTGCGTTATGTATTTTTCCTGTAATGACTGTACTGACAAATAAAGAAACCATTTCATTGTTTAAGTAAATATGAACGATTTCATTATTGATATTTTATTTCTTTTAAACAAAGTATTCATGCCGTTGGGTTAAGGTAAGTCCGTTCGATCATATCTGAAATTTAAACGTTTGACTTTCACTTTCAATGTTGGGCACTTTACAAAGGAACTATTGATATACCAAAACGTCTTAAGCGAGGCGCCAGAATCAATCAAAATGCCGTATTTACTCTCCTTTAAGTCAGTCCGCCTATAAGTCGGTTGTATTTTTGTCCCCCGCTTTCACTTTGAGCTTTTGCAATGAAATTTTACATAACAAATTCCTGTGGAATTCCTAAGGAAGACCCCTATTGATTTTTAGGTCAAAAGGTCAAAGTTCAAGGTCGTTAATTCATACATTCCGTCTGTGTGTAACACTTTCGTTTCCGGGCGATATCTCAAGAAGCTTTTGAGCTTTTGCAATGAAATTTTATACCATAACTCCCTAGGACCTCTCTAGCCCCTCTCAAACTGTCCCGCCCCGTTTTTTAAAATAACTTATTGTATTAAAAGTCGCTTGGCACTATTTTTAGCATAGGGGCATGTGGAGAGTTATTACGTATAAAACAGGTTGTCGGCGGACTTTATATTCTTATTACATCTATTAGAACTGTTTAGGAAAGGCTAAATTAGACACCATGTATTGTGTAAAATTTTGACAATATCGAACGTGAATATAAACATTATGTGTGACCTAATGTTTGCATTTAATTTGTTATATCATCAAGTGCCTCTGTGGTCTAGGGGTATGACTCTCGCTTAACATGTGATAGGTCCCGGGTTCAAATCCCAAACGATTTTTTTTAAAATTTTTTTTGGATTTACTAAACGATATTATACAGCATGTGAAATGAAAAAGTTATGACGTCTGGCTTGTACAAACTCATAAAATCATTATTACAGTGTGATAAATATTCTATATAAAAAGAATCTTCTATACACATATTAAAGAATAAGCAATCAAACCTTTATATCTATATTGCCATTTTTAATTTGCTTCATATACATGTATACATTTAATAATTCTACAAATCCAGGGGAAACTGCGCATGCTCTTCTTTTTTCTCTAAGGGGGGGGACACAAATTCTCTGAATTAGCTTGTTTGAGGTAATTTTGGAGGGATTTGAAATTGACCGGTTATAAGTCGGTACAACTTTATCTATAATCGATGGACAATTTCAAATCAATGCAAAGATGTTTTAACCTGGTTTCAATTAATATTTTTAGAAATGACGCCGACTTTTTTTTAATCATTTAACAAATAAGTAATCCACACTTAAGATAAAAATAAAATTATTAAAATAACTTAATACTTGATCAACGATTTTGGTCGGAAATGCTTATAAAATACTATATTTTGCCGTCCAGAGAAGTACAGAGAACCAGGCTCATTTACATAGCAGTGAATCAACTAAGACTGTTGTACATGAAACATACATTATAATAACAAATATATGCTCTTCGAGCATTGAGATTAGCTGAAAATGGAACCCACGGCTCAAGGTCGCAAAAGGAATGTCTCCGAGATTGAAGGAAGCATGCAAGATAAAACGAACACAATGGAGGATAAACAGGATGCTATTATAAATCAGCGATGTCTGCACGTACACAGTACAGTTAAGGTGTGCAATGGAAATATCGGCGATTTTTTATGATACAAAATAATTCTTTTTCAGGATGGCGATTCTTTTAAATACTTTACTAAGATCGGACAAATGTAATTATGGTTATTAACTACATATTGAGTATGGTAATTAACTACATATTGAGGACGATTAGATTTTCTATTTAGACCTGTCACGTGATGCTGCAGTCACGTGATTTTTGCACATATACTTGCAGTATTGAGATCACCTATAGAATTCAATTGTGCAAGGGCATAACCAAGTTAAAATTCGAAGTTTAATTTTTTTAATAGTTTCAACACCCATTGTAGTTTTTGAAAAGTGCTGCGATCTTGTATAGATTCGACAATTTCATTGTTTAAATCATATTTGTATGAACTGATAGAGAATTTTTTGCTGGTCAGCTTCATTAAATATAGAAATAATTCAGTTTCGAGATTTCAACAGGATCGCAGCACTTTTCAAATAGCTGAATACTTCTAGAGTTTATGATAAAAAATCTTGTCATTATCCATTGAGGGAGTGCCCTTGTACCAGATCGATTTATTAAGACCCTTAGATTATACTCCAAAGTACCAGCATACAATATACGGTAGTATCCGTTAAATAGAAAATGTACACTGTATCTAAATTAATGGCCTCCTACAAATCTGCAAATAATATTTTATTTAATTATTAGATACATTTCTTCGTTGTGAAAATATTACTTGATCCGCCTCTCACTGCATACAAACTGCGTCAAGTTTTAAGGAATGATGTCATATCGACAAGTGCAGTGCGATCAGTGACTTGTTCAAACCTTGCTACAATGTAGGTGGGATTTATCTTACGACAAAAAACGCATTTTATAGGAAGTTTTGATTTAGTTCAATTATCTCCTACAGTTTAAAATCGCAAATCACTTCATTTTTTTTTCTTTTTAAGGATTGTTAGTTTCGTGTGATGTCATAGTTAATATTTCCCGTAAAAATTAGGCTCCGCCTCTTTTTTGTAGCCTTAACTGTGCTGCGTAAGTGTTTGCCTCTAAATGTACTCTAGCTCTCTTGTACCTCACAGGGTATCAAAGAAACCACATCAGCATGTGACTACGGGCCTCTTATTGAAGTATTTCAACTAATAAGTTCATTAACGGTCTGAAAGTAAAGATTGTGATGAAGTATATAAATTCTGAATTTAAAAGGGAAACCTTATTGCACATATGCAGGACACCCCAGTCCTCCTATAAAATATAAAATGGCTTTTGCGAAAATGTATTTCGAGTTTTGGGAAGAGAGGCTTTTGTAAAATGAAAAATGTCTTTTTCGACCTCTTTTTGGCCAAAGGGAAAATGAAATTCCGAAACCTTATTGCACATATACAGAACATCCCATTCATTATGCAAAGGATGAGATGACTACTGTGTAAAATGTAAGAGGAGTTCTAGGAACAGGTGTTTGTAAAAAACAATGTCGTTTTGTGACCCGTATTTGACCCCCAGAGTGAAAAGGATACTGTGGAATCATCTTTGTTCGTGGGGGACCAATGTTCGTGGATTTCGTGGGTTAACCTTACATATAAATTTACTTGTCCCAAAAAACAATTATTTTGTAAACATTGATTCATTGAATCTATCTTATAAACGAGTAACCAACGAAATTACGTCCCCACGAATGTTATAAAGAATTAATTTACATGTAAATTTAAATAAAATCAAGTAAATTAACTTTTTAACTTTATACAAACGTTACTTTTGTTTTTACTATTATACCACTTAACACTACTTGACTCAGATATTCAAATGCAGAAAAAAAATCAATAGGAAAATAAAGGATCATTCTTTATTTTCTGTAATTAGCAAATCAATCGAACAAAGGAAAATATCATAATTAGTGCATCACAACTTTTTCGGAAAAAAATCAGTATTTATTTCTTTCTTCGTTTTCCGATCCCATATCTGAAAAAGAAAAAAGAAATAATTACAGCACTATTGTGTCATAAATATCTGAAAGTAAAATATTCGATAAAAGTAAGTTTAAGACCACTGTTTCTCTTCATCAAAATAATGATTCAATGAAAAAATGATGGATTTTTTTTTAAATTGAAAGATATAGCTGTCATATTAATTAAGGAATGAACTTAATAACAATCCAAGTTATACTGTATAACCTGGGTTGGTTTTTTTTCGCTTTATAAACTCTTCAAAAAGGCCTTCAAATTCTTCCGATTTTAAATTTAACGTCAAGCAGACTGATACGTTTCAAACGTAAGTCATAGGAACTTAGGCAACAGAGGTTATACGATATAAACGAATTTTTCTATCCAATCAAATAGCGCGTTACAACCAGAATTAAATTATTTGATAATGAATAGCAAACTTACCTCTTCAAATCATCAACTGTGGCTGCTAGATCCGCTACCGCTGCTTGAATGGGACCATCTTCTATGCCACCTCCCAGGAATAGCAAAAGATCCCATCACATAGATTGTCAGGATGACCAGAACAAGAAGTAAGCACAGGTAAATGAAGTTCATTCTACTCTTTGGGATGTGCAATAAATCTGAAACATATAATTGCGATACATCACGTGATTGGTATACTAACATTATATATATATATATATATATATATATATATATATATATATATATATATATATATATATATATATATATATATATATATATATATATATATATATATATATATATATATATATATATATATATCCCACATTCTGAACGTCGTTTTCTTTTAAATCAAACACTGTTTTGTTCTCTATACAGCTTAACTTGAAGCAATTATAAGACAAAATATACAGACTAACATTTAAAAGTAGACGAAAGATCTGTTTAGTTCTTACCTTAAAATTGTCCTGGGAAACTTTAAAATCAGGAGGGACGTTTCTCTTTATATACTTGCTCCTAGTCAGTCTTGCAATCCAAACATATGTTAATGACAAACTAATTGCATGCAGATGACCTTGCTTATCATATGTTCATTCTCATTTATTTTGACAAGATGATGCAGGAGAACACATTCTGGATGCACAATTGCAGAAAAAAATGAATTTAAATGAGAATTTTTCAGTACTGAAGTAAGGCATTAATATATAACTGGTATTTACTTTCCCTGAGTTATCATTTGGAAACCTTTTCTGTGTATGCACATAAATTGTTTTGTTTGTTTTTATATGGTTTTAAGTACCATTCGAGAATTGTTCACTAATGTAGAGACGTTCCGGCTTCAAGTGAGGTACCACAGATTCTGACCTATGCCTCGCTCTTACAGCCACAGATGCATCAGTAAGGGTTTCTTTTCATGCCTACGCCTACCGTGATTCACACTGGACTTTCAATTTCAAGATCATATCCTAAAGACGCTTGATTTTTACTTCTTATGCTGGGTGCTTTATGACTGAACGTCTTATCATGACGTCACAATAAGAACATCAAACCCTGGACTACCGGTCGCAAAATACATGTAATGGCTCCCAGATTGTAGAAAGCCATATAAAAGAATAAAATACACAATGGAGGATATAAATACGGAAATGTATTAGTATCTAGTTATGTTCTATGTTAATTTTGGTAAGGAACGTTTTAGAACTTACTGTTCTGTTTTCATATCTACTGACTTTAATTCCAAAAAATTCTTTGTGAGGCCCTATTTTATTCGTATAACAGATGACTTTCTTGAAGTCCGCAATGTAATTTTAATAAATACAACATAATTTTATTAAACATGATCTCTAACCTTACCTTTATAGGTTTTTTCACTGTATACTGTATGATAACAGTTTTCTTACCGTCCCATAATTGTCAGCGTAGCATAGGTATTTTAATACTTGGAAATAAAATAATTTCTACTGGACTGGTGCAATTTTACTTTGATTAAAATTGATTTCCTGTATTCTGTAAACTTGTGTATTAAGCATGATCATAAGATAGTTCTTACTTTATTCTACATTTATTAATAACTGAAGACACTTGAAGTATTTCATCCTGTCAGCCGATGTGTACTGTGTAATTATGATACTGTATTACTTAGCACAAATATTCAATTCGATCTGTTTAACAAGTTCTTAAAAATGAACTTCGCTGGAATTGTGACATCCATTCTCAAATATTTCTGAAAAAAAATCATATATTAATATATTATATTTTGTATCTATTTAGTTTGATATCGGAAAGTCAAAAAATAAACATCCAACATTATTAATACAGATACAAAAAAGAAAGAATTTTAAAGAATTTTAGAAGATTTGTATATGTACCAGTGCGGTTGATTCTCAAGGAATATTCAAAAGTTTTGCGTTTTTATGTAGTAGAAATTATCCTTAAATGTTTATATGCAAAGAAAAAGTCATGCTAAACAAAATGATTTATGATCTTCTATCTGCATGTTCCCTTTATATGTAGTAATATACCATTTTCACCTGCTTATGGTGCTTACAGGTATGTCTCCAAACTGATTCAAAACACAAAACCATGTTAAATATACGACCAATTTTAACGGATGCAAACTACTGACAAATTAGTGAATGTTGTAGAGATGTTCCTTTAAGGACATCATTTTGAAAAAATGACTTATCGTTACAATGACCATATTTTTGAAAACAACATGTAAGTGTTTGGAATATTGACTGATGTGTTTGGTACAAAGTATATGGTCATTGTTCTCATACTGATATGTCTATGGACCATTTTCTTGATCAAGACAGACGGTTCTCGGTAGATGCGTTCGCTTATTCCATGCGACTCCTTTAGTATTTGCAAGGGGTCAGTTTTTGCCTTTCTTTCAAATTACATTATTTTATTTGTTTGGATTAGAAAATTAATCTCTGTTTATATATATGTTATTTCAGCATTTCATGTTTTCAACTTAATATTATTATTTTTTTTTTACGTCTATATGCTTTGACAGGATGTCAAATACTTTGAAATGATTGTGTATATTTTCAGGAGTTCAGATTCAATATGCCCATTTATATGTTTCCTAGTTTTAAATCTGCAAAAATAAACTTTCTGTAAGTTTTTTTGTGTGCCAAAAATAATTTTTGCTAAAATTTGCGAAACATAAGTTACTTTGTGTATAAAAATAAAAATATGTCCAACAAAGCATCTGTAATGACTTTGACAACGAAATCTACTATTAATATTATTGAAATAATTCAACCAAATCACTCAAATCATTTCAAATGTGTATATTTTACCAAATATTTCAAAGAAATTACTTCAGGTATGGATTTTTCAATACCGGTATCCTGTATGTGGGGGGGGGGGGGTTAAAAATTTGAATTATATTGATTATTAATATACTGGCCGTTTTCATTGCATATTTTAAAATTTTGCATCGACCGATTATGGTGAAACAAAGTGTGTGGGAAAACTTTTACCGTTTACTCGATACTAAACAGAATCTTTATAATTAAAGTATCATATCAATCTCCAACCTAACTACACCAGAAATGTCCTCATAAATACTAGAAATGGATTGAAATATCTGATAAAAATCATAGAAAAAATACAAAATATACATTGCGGTCAATGTTGCATATCGCCATAACTCAACAACAAACATATAAATAGAGAACCTTCTTTATAATCTTTTCAAATAAAAATCAAGTATATACGAATCGTATATCTTTTTAATCCCTATCTGAAAAAGAAAAAGGAAAATGTTCAGAAACAACTGCCAAAAATTTAAAATTTAAAATAAAAAAAATAAAGAATTAATCTTAAAAAACCTTTTAAAAACTAATATTGGTTTCTATTTGCATAACAAATTAACAAAAATGAATCCTAAAGGAACAAGACATAGCTACTCTTGCGTTTCTCAAATCATCCGAGATGTTTATTCAGGACTTTTGGAAAAAGCATTAAATCAGAATTTCAATTTAAAATTGGGAGGCTCTCTCTTATTTCTTATTTAAAAGAATTTTTATCATGTCTCAAATTTTTTGATATGATAAAGCTTACGTGCTAAGAAAATCATCCTTTAAAATTCTTTGCTAAAATATTAATATTTTTTATGTTTCTGGAATTCAGATTTCTTAATTTGCATATTTTGATCGCCAATGTTACGCCCCATTGCTCTGACCTCACAGGTATCAATCCTGGTCAAGCAAAGTACTTATTGTGTTAACAAAATGATTCTGCTGCGTCTTATAAACCTGTTAGAAATAGAAAAAAAAAATGCAAATTGGATTATTGACAGCTAGTAAGCATATTTTGCCGCGTTTGGATGCACAAATGTGCACAAAAAAGGATTTACGAAGATTTTTCACATTTCCTAGATATTGGCGGGAGGTGAAAGTGAGATTCGTCTACTTTCAAATCTATCAATTAAGCCACGACCACGAATTTTGTACTTAAGATAGTTTTAAGGAAATAGTTGTTAAAAACTAATGACCAACAGACATTTTTAAAAAGAGGTCGCACAGAACATAAGGAATATTGGAAAAATTCATAATGTCGAACGGCACCATTGAAGAAGAAATTCATTACTGAAACAGATAAAAAAAAAATATAAAGGATTTATATATATTTCATTTATTAAAAACTGAATGAAGGAGAATTTAAATTTCCATATTTATAAATAATATACTCTCTCTTTGTCAGCAAATGTTCTAGGTCATTTCTTTCTGCTAGGTGTTCATAATAAAAAAAAATTGAACGTTTGCTTCCAAAGAAATTTTCTGGATGTCAAAGTTTTTTCCCAACCATATTGTGTAGTCTTTTGTTAAACGTCAAAATGTATTCTATATTCATTCTTACGAGTTCTACGTGACCATTGACAGTATGTCGTTTCAGAACCACATAACCTCTATCTAATTAGAGGATATTTGTACTTCGAGAAACCTATATTACGATGTTTCCAATATTATTTAATAATAATTTAATAATAAACTGATAATATGTTTCAATAATAAAATTGTGTTTCAATGCACAGAAAAAAATGATCTACGGTCAAATAAATAAGTGAAAAAAAGCCTTTGCGGCTATCTCAAGAAACTTTTTGTCTTAGGACAAATGTTCTCCTATATATAACTGCTAAAGATGTCATTTGCAATAAACTTTAAGGTACTAAAAATAAATTCAAAGAGGATAACCTTGTAGTTTTCTGCCAGGTACCGATTAATCGTTTCATGCGCACAACCTTGCATCTAGAATTAATACAATGCAGATTATGCAATAGAAATGCCAAAGAAACGATAGCCTTAAACAGACTATGGTACTCTCCAATTTTCTATACATTTTGAAGTTTACTTGATGATGCAACATAAATATTTTTTTTATGCAAATTCGTCAGTTTCAATGTTTTGAAAAAATTAAGTTATTGCGTATTGCAATCATTTAACACTTTCTATCCCCAAACAGGTTAAAAAGACATTTGGATTAAAATTTTCAATGAATTAAAGATTTATGAAACTAAAATAAAAATGAATTAATTATAAAAAAAAATAACATGTAAAATGCTTTGCCTATTTAAATAATTTGTCAATTGCAAAATGTGAATATTTGCTCAGAAAGAATATAATAAACTATATATCTTCAAATCTATGATAATTCCAAATGCTGATAAGTATAAGATACATTTATTAGTGAAATAGGATGCATTAAAACATATTATTATACCTCATTATAATTATTATACACAACGCGTTATCTGATTGGTTCTAGATTATCACGAGATCGGGCCATAAAACTTCATATTTCACGGTCGTCGGCATGCTTTTCATCATATTTCCCCTCTTCGGATACCTAGTGCATTTTCCCGCAATAGTTATCATTCGTAGAAAGAAAACTCCCGAGAGTAATAGACGTCACAATATCCGGGTTTACGTCACAAAATTGATGATTTGTGATGTGTCAAAGGGTTTCAGTAACTTTACGTTAAAAATGAAAGTGAATTTGAGAGCGGTGCCGAATTTGAAAGTTTATGT